TGCATGTCCATTTGAGCGAGTGTGTTTGTGCATGTTTGTTGATTTGTATTAATGTCCTAGGATTGTAGTTTGTGTTTTCATGATCCTTTTGCGAATGCAGTTTTGCGTGAGTAATTTTGTGCATGATTTTGTACTTTTACTTATGTGCGTATCTTTTGTAGCGAGTGTTTTTGTGCACGTTTCTTGATGCGCGTTCGTGTCCTCGAACTGTAGCGGGTATTTTCATGATCGCTGTTGGAATCCAATTTTGACCATGTTCGAGTCCGAATTTGGAAATTTGACATTAGACAGGAATTGTAGCCAGCTGAAATAGCTTTCTAATGCCGCCGGAACCAGTCGATTTGGAGTCCGGATGAGAAAGTTATGCTCGACTTCGTGGGCACTACCGAAGATGTTGAGGGATCCTCTCTTCTATTTTGATTTTATTTTCCTAATTGCAACTCTTTTCTTACTCTTTGATCATTTTTGCTTCCTGGACACCTAATTATACATTTGTACCTATAGAATACTAAATCCACCAATTAAAACAGAAATATAAATTAATCCATAAAAAAATCAAATCCACGTAAACGTAAACGTTGAGTGTTATTTCTACCCTCCACCGTATCTTTTGTTTTTGCTGTTGTTTGGTTATGCGCGTTAAAGTCCTAGTGTTGTACTTCGTGTTTTTAAGAACGTTGTTGGGAATGCACTTTTGCGCATGTTTTTTACATGTATGTTTGTGCATTTCCATTTGAGCGAGTGTGTTTGTGCATGTTTGTTGATTTGTATTAATGTCCTAGGATTGTAGTTTGTGTTTTCATGATCCTTTTTGCGAATGCAGTTTTGCGTGAGTAATTTTGTGCATGATTTTCTACTTTTACTTATGTGCGTATCTTTTGTAGCGAGTGTTTTTGTGCACGTTTCTTGATGCGCATTCGTGTCCTCGAAATGTAGCGGGTATTTTCATGATCGCTGTTGGAATGCAATTTTGACCATATTCGAGTCCGAATTTGGAAATTTGACATTAGACAGGAATTGTAGCCAGCGGAAATAGCTTTCTAATGCTGCCGGAACCAGTCGATTTGGAGTCCGGATGAGAAAGTTATGCTCGACTTCGTGGGCACTACCGAAGATGTTGAGGGATCCTCTCTTCTATTTTGATTTTATTTTCCTAACTGCAACTCTTTTCTTACTCTTTGATCATTTTTGCTTCATGGACACCTAATTATCAATTTGTACCTATAGAATACTAAATCCACCAATTAAAACAAAAATATAAATTAATCCATAAAAAAATCCACCTAAACGTAAACGTTGAGTGTTATTTCTACACTCCACCGTAGGCGTGGGCATTCGGGTCGGGTCGGGTTATTCAGGTTATTCGGGTCGGGTTATTCGGGTTTTTTGCTAAAACAAAATTACCCGAACCCGACCCGAGATGACCGGGTACCCGGTTGCCGGGTACCCGGTTATTTCGGGTCGGGTTCTGGCCGGGTTCTGGTTTATCTATTTTCCTCTTTTTTTTTATTTTTTTCTAATTTTTTTTTTATTAATTTTTTTTTTTATTTTTTCTTTCCTAATAATTATTTATTACTTCCAATTCGAAATGTGACATCAAACTTCATAAAATATCAAAAATATATTAGATGTTGTTTTACTTGGATTACAAATACGGGAAGTAAAATTATATACACAGATTCATAAAAACAAAAGAATTACTAAATTTATTACACAAAAACCATTAATCACAAAAAAAAATATATATATATATATATATATATATTAGTTACATAAAATATACATATATATAAAGACATACACACATACATATATATATATATATATATATATATATATATATATATATATATATATATATACACAAACATATACATATCTATATACATAGTCTGTATGAAATACATATACATATATATACATACAAACATATACATATATATAATGCATAGTCTGTATTACAGACATATACACACATATATATATATATATATATATATATATATAATTTTTTTTTTTTTTTTTTTGGTTATGCGCATTAAAGTCCTAGTGTTGCACTTCGTGTTTTTAAGAATGTTGTTGGGAATGCTGTAACACCCCGCGTCTCCGATAATTTAATTTTTCATTAATTAGCATCTATTTAGTTAACGTGATTTTATCTCTTATGTGCGTTTATTTGTTTAAGATTTTATTTATGTGATAACCGGTGAAAATTCATATAGAATGCATTAGTCCGAAATAATTTTTGGACGAATTTAAATTGATCATCTTAGTTAATTATTAATCTAGAGGTTAATTATACTCTTTTGTTTGCTAGAACTTATTTGTTAGGAGAATTTTAAAATCACATATTTTCTTAAATAAAAATAGAAAATTCCTCCTATTCATCCCTCAATTTTGACCATGGTACAACACATGACTAAATATTTTCCTTGAGTACAACCCTTGTCTAGGTGAGCCCATGTGCATTAAGATTTTTCCTTTTTGAATTTCTTTTGGAGAGTTAAATGAAATTGCAAAGAAGTCCCTCTAGATAATTCCTAAGTTTTCCTAAATTGCAAAAAGACCACTCCTTAATCATTAAGCATACAAGTCCCTCACAACTCTATAAATAGAACCCAAGCCTTCATCTATTTCTCATTTTTCTCTACACATTCAATAAAAAATCAAAATCTCTTTCTCCTCTTCTCCCAATTTTCGAAATTATAGTATAGGAAAGCCCCAAATTCTCTCTTTCAAGTGTCAAATTCTTGGCCAAAGGAGTAAGTCTTCTTCATCTTCTTTCTTTTCTTCATTTTCGAAAATTTCAAGAAACTAAGATTCTCTTCCCCTCTTTCTAAAACTTCTTCTTCTTCTCCTTGTAGAAAGGAAAGAACACCCTCCCAATTTTCTAAGAAGATTAAGGTGAGAATTTTCGAATTCTTGCTACAAGTGCTTCAACACCAATAGTATTTTTCTTCTCTTTAATTTCTTGTTAATTTTCTTGTGGTGACCAAAAACTAAAGGAGAAAGAAAATAAAACTTTGTGTTTAATTTATGCTTTGATCATCCATGCATGTAAGAATCTAAGCTTTAAATGATATAATCTTGAAGAACTAAGAATAATATTGTAATTTGATTTATGTATATATATTAGACCTGCGTGATCTTAAAGTACTTGATCCATGGTTTATTTATAATCTATATGTGCTATATATATATAAGTATATGTTTCTATGTGTATATATATATATATATATATATCGACCTACGCGGTTGTAAGTGTACTCCCTTCGGGTCGAGGAAGCTTACGATCCATGGTTTATGATCTATGAGTAATAAGATAATATACGAAGATAAAAACCGGGAACAAGATTAATAAAAATAGAATTTTGTGTGATTGAATTGTTGATGGTTCGAATATTTTGAAAGAAAATAAAATAAATGGAAATTTGATGCTACTTGAAAGAAAACTTCAAGTCTCTTGAGAAAGAGGGCTTGAACTTTAAATAATGAAACTTGGAGATAGTAATTATAAATAACCGAATGCTTTTCGTTGTTTTGCTATATGTGTAAATATGTGATCTATGTTCTTTGCTTGACTTGTTATGTGTCTTACTTGCTTTTGTGATTTTGTGACTAAACTATGTGCCTTTGTGAAATATGTGGAAATATGTGTGATTATGTGAAAGCTAACTTTGAATATGTGAAATGAAGAATATATACTAACTTCACTTGCACGTTTTTAAAGTTGGGAAATCTCGTAAAACATAGATCGAATAAGCACGGGGTATGAGGGACCGGTACCCCAAAAATGAGATGAAGAGTGTGTGGTTTGATTCCACTTATGAAACGGGTTCCAAATAAATGAAGGCTTATTGTCTATGGTTTTACTTGATCTTCCAAAGGATATCCGAACAAAAATGTTTTTCCCACACATTGTATGAGCACTTGAATGAATGTGTGTGTAAAATAATGACGACTCCCTTGTAAGGGATTTACTCTTATTCCTTATGAAATGATGAAAGGAAGGTCTAAGAGGTAAAATGAGAAGGTCTAAGAGGTTATTGGAGAAGGTAAAGGTAAATTGGTAAAGTTCCCCAATGAAATGACGATTGAGGTAAAATCGAAATGTTTTTATTGTGTATATGTGTGATTCGAGATGGGATATATACATATATACATATCATAAATATATGCTTGTTTGCCTATGTGTATTCGATATTTTTTCGGAATTCTCGTTGAGTCCAAAAGACTCATATAGGTGTTGAAATGCTTGTAGGCACTTTCAATCCCGAGCACGAGTCGTAAAGTTGGAGTCGAGTTCGAGGATCGAGGGATGTGTTCATATGGAAGGCGTGTGGATCTTGTGTGCTCTTAATTTAGCCATATTGTTTTACTTATATAGTTTAATTTTAAAGACTTTCGATACCGTCTTAGATATCTATTATCGTACTCTTCCACCCCTCGGGGGGTCTTATTAGTAAGAACATTGCATCTAATAATAATTAGGATTTTGATTTCCTCTTTTTGCCAAACTTCTATATAATGCTTATCGGTTAATTAAATGTTGTGTTCTGCCCTGTTGTTCGATAATCCGTATTAAATATACTTTCTCTTTGGAATTGCATGTAATTTTACAAAGTCATAGGTCTTTCTGCTAGGGTTATTTTGGTAGGTCCTTTGCATCATTTGGACAAGTCAGGAATTTATTATAAATTAATTTCCGTAACTGTGCACATGCTGGGTCATTTTAGGACATGCATCAATATATGAAGTTTTTCTTACTCAAATGAATCCATTTAACATGGAATATGTTCATAACTCACTTATCTATTTTCTTATAAAATTTGGTAGTTTTTAGAACAGTAGGGAATTTATAAATAATTTTCAAAGCTCCTTCTCCTGTTCTGAATTTTTAAACTGTACAGTTCCATATGTTTAATTATTGCTCTCAAATGGCTAATGATATTTTAAAACTGTTTTCACTGAGTAATTTAGACTCATATTAGAGTATGTGGTTATATTTTCAAAGTGTTTTCATGAAGGGTTCAAGAGATATTAATTTTCTAAGTTGATCTACCAAATCTGTCCGAAATTCCTAATCTTTACTCTTGATAATTTCAATAATCTAGTCATGCATGTTCCTTTTGTGATATTTGGTGAAGTGTATATGATATAGTATTATGTGGACACTCTTCCTCTGATTTTAAAAGAAAAATTTATGCGTAACTTTCTATTGGTAGAAGGTGATTTCTAAAACGAGCATTCCACACTCATTATTTTCTATAAGTCTTCCGCTAGCATATTCTAAATTACTAAGTAAGTGTAATTAGAAAATGGGTGTCACACATACGTGGTATCAGAGCAACGTTCCCCGGAAACTTCCATATGAACTTAAAGATCTCCGAAATCCTCGAATGACGACATCAACTAAGAACTCGGGCAGGTATGTGTTTATGTGTGCACATTTCTTAACTAATGAGAAGTGTTTATTTGTTTAAAGTGCTAAAATTTCGGGAGCACAAACTCGAGCTCAAAACGCCGCTAACGGTCCGAACGATCAATCTCGCACCATACAAGACCTCACCGCCCTCGTCCGAGAACAAAATGAACAAATCCAACGCCTTGTTAACCTCCAAAACCAGAACCCTCCACCTCCACCAACTCAAAATACCGCACCCCAAGCCATTTACGAAAGGTTTCTAAGAATGCACCCCGCCGAATTCCATGGAGGCCCCGATCCAACCATAGCCGAAGAATGGATCAAATCCCTCGAAGTCATTTTCGACTACATGGAAATGACCGACCGAGATCGAATCCATTGTTCTCTTTTCCTACTGAAGAACGAAGCCCGTCATTGGTGGGAAGGTACCAAAGAAGGAATCGACCTAACGAACACTACTTGGAGCGCTTTCAAAATTTTGTTCTTCGAAAAGTACTTTTCCAAAAACCTCCGAGCTCAGAAGCTAAAGGAATTTCTCGAGCTAAAGCAAGGCAACTTGTCCGTAGCCGAGTACGTAAGGCGATTCGAACAAGGATGTCTCTACGCCCCATTCATATCCCGAGACGCCGACGAAAAGGCCAACCATTTCCTTAGAGGCCTCAACCCGGTGATTCAACGAGATGTCCGCATGTCTTCCGTAACGACTTTTCTGAAAATAGTCGACAAAGCACTCGAAGCAGACCAAGCCGAGCAAGAGATCCGTCAATCTCGATCCGTTCCACCTGCCACTACTCACAAATGGAAGAGGCCCCACCCCGGACCAGGCAAAAACAAGGGAAAACGTCCAATGATTCAAAACCATGATACACCACCAGCCCGACCGATTTGCTCAAAATGTCGGAAACCTCACTTTGGACCCTGCGTTCAAGGCACCAACAATTGTTATCGCTGTGGATAACCAGGGCACTTGATAAGGGATTGCCCACAACCCCCACCGCAAAACCGAGCCCCCGGTCGAGTGTTCGCAATGACCAAAGATCAAGCCGAAGCCGACCCTTCGATGATAGCAGGTACAATTTACGTTTGTAACAATCTCGTTTATGCTCTAGTTGATTCCGGATCGACTCACTCATTCGTCTCGAGTACCCTCGCCGCCAAATTCCCGATAACCCCTACCACATCTAGTAAATTATTCACAATTCGCTTACCGTCCGGCAATGACTTAGTGTCCGATCTCTTTTTCAAAGATTGCCCAATCGAAATCCAAAAGAAACCACTCAATAATTATCCCTATAGACCATTTCGATGTAATTCTCGGAATGGATTGGTTGTCCACATATAAAGCCCAAATCAATTGTGCGACCAAAACCGTCTATCTTTCTTTACCCCACGATCAAATAGTAGTATTCCAAGGGTCCTATTCACCTTCACTCAAAATCCTCTCCGCCGTCAAAACACTTAAGCTCGCCCGAAAGGGGCATTGTTGTCATTTGGTCGACATAGTCGAAATCTCCGACGAAAATAAACCCGAGCCATCCAAAGTACCAACCGTTTGTGATTTTCCCGATGTCTTTCCCGAAGATCTCCCCGGTCTTCCACCCGATCGTGAAATTGAATTTGAGATCAACCTAATTCCCGGTGCAAATCCTATTTCCAAAGCACCCTACCGCATGGCCCCGTTAGAACTTAAAGAGCTCAAAGACCAAATCCAAGAGCTTATCGATAAGAAGTTTGTTCGCCCTAGATTCTCCCCTTGGGGAGATCCCGTCCTCTTCGTCAAAAAGAAAGACGGAACCCTCCGCCTATGTATCGACTACCGAGAGCTTAACAAAGTCACGATCAAAAATAAATATCCTCTACCGAGAATCGACGACCTTTTCGGCCAAATCCAAGGCTCCACGGTATACTCAAAGATCGATCTCCGTTCCGGATATCACCAATTGAAAATCAAGAAAGAAGATATCCCAAAATCCGCTTTCCGAACTCGTTACGGCCATTACGAGTTTGTAGTAATGCCATTCGGTCTAACCAACGCCCCGGCCGCTTTCATGGATTTAATGAACCGAATCTTCCGGAAGTACCTCGACCAATTTGTGATCGTGTTCATCGACGACATCTTAATCTACTCCCGAAATGATGAAGAACACGAAGAACATTTGAGAATCGTGCTCCAAACCCTCCGAGAAAACCAACTTTACGCAAAATTCTCCAAATGTGAATTTTGGTTACGCCAAGTCCACTTCCTTGGGCACGTGATCTTGAAAGAAGGAATATCGGTAGATCCAAGCAAGATCGAAGCCGTTTGCAATTGGCCAACTCCCCGAAATGTTGGAGAAATCCAAAGCTTCCTCGGTCTCGCGGGTTACTATCGACGATTCGTTCCGAACTTCTCCAAAACCGCTTCTCCACTCACTCGATTGACCCGAAAGGAAACCAAGTACCAATGGACCGCCGAATGTGAGTCTAGCTTCCAAGAGCTCAAGAATCGATTAACTTCCGCCCCAATTCTTGCCTTACCCGACAAAACCGGAAACTACGTAGTCTATAGCGATGCTTCGAAGCACGGACTCGGAGCCGTCCTAATGCAAAATGGAAACGTAATTGCCTATGCCTCTCGTCAATTGAAAGACTACGAGAAAAATTACCCGACGCACGACTTGGAACTTGCCGCCGTAGTTTTCGCCCTCAAAATTTGGAGGCACTATCTCTACGGAGAGAAGTGTTCGATCTTCACCGACCACAAAAGCCTAAAGTACTTCTTCACCCAAAAGGATCTTAACATGAGACAAAGACGATGGCTCGAATTGGTCAAAGATTACGATTGCGAAATACTTTACCACCCCGGTAAAGCTAATGTCGTGGCCGATGCTCTTAGCCGGAAGTCCATGTGCGCTTTGATCATTGAACCGCCGCTCAAGTCGACTATCAAATCCGCCCAACTCCTGGATGATAAACTTCTAAAAACCCGAGAAAGCTTATCAACCGGTTGAAATCCCAATTTCTCGATCTCCGATGGCGAAGTCTTAAAATTCCAAGGAAGAATTTGCGTTCCGGCAAACAAAGAGATAAAAGAATTAATTCTTGGCGAAGCTCACAAAACCCCCTACTCTTGCCACCCGGGTGAAACAAAAATGTACCAAGACTTGAAGAAATTATATTGGTGGCCCGGAATGAAGAAAGACATAGCCAAATTTGTGTCCGAATGCCTAGTTTGTTAACAAGTCAAGACGGAGCACCAACGGCCCGGCGGACTTCTTCAACCCAACCTCATACCCGAATGGAAGTGGGAAAAAGTAACCATGGATTTCGTTCAAGGATTTCCGAAAACTCAAAAAGGTTCCGACTCAATATGGGTAATAGTTGACCGCCTAACCAAATCCGCTCACTTTCTACCGGTCAAGACTACCTTTAGTCTCGAAAAGCTAGCCGAACTTTACATCCGAGAACTTGTTCGACTCCACGGGATTCCTATATCAATCATTTCCGATCGAGACCCTCGATTCACTTCAAAATTTTGGAAAAGCTTGCACGAGGCAATGGGGACCCGTCTAGACTTTAGTACGGCATACCATCCGCAAACCGACGGTCAATCCGAGAGAACGATCAAAACTCTCGAAGATATACTCCGAGCATGCATAATGGATTTTGGTGGTAATTGGGAAAGCCGGCTACCGCTCATCGAATTCTCGTACAATAATAGTTACCAATCATCAATCGAAATGGCGCCATAAGAAGCATTGTACGGAAGAAAATGCCGATCTCCAATCCATTGGGACGAAGTCGGCGAGCGAAAATTATTGGGCCCCGAACTAGTCCAACACACCGTCGACATAATCAAAAACATCCGGGAGAAAATGAAGTCGGCCCAAGACCGCCAACAAAAGTACGCAAATAAAAGGAGACGAGACTTAGAATTCAATGTTGGCGACCACGTATTTCTAAAAGTCGCTCCACTCAAAGGAATTATGCGATTCGGAAAACGAGGGAAGCTAAGCTCTCGATATATTGGACCTTTCGAAATTCTCAATCGAATTGGTACTCAAGCCTATCGCCTTGCCCTACCACCACATCTATCTCGAATACACAATGTCTTTCACGTATCCATGCTCCGAAAATACCTCCCTAACCCCGACCACGTCCTTGAATTCGAACCTATAGACTTATCCCCAAACCTATCTTTTATCGAAGAACCCATTCAAATCTTAGACCGAAAGGTTAAGAAACTCCGAAATAAAGAAATCCGCCTTATCAAAATTCTTTGGAAAAACCATTCTCCGGACGAGGCAACGTGGGAACTCGAGGATGAGATTGAGAGTCGGTACCCGGACATAATAAAGAAAGGTACAACTTTCGGGGACGAAATTTCTTTAAGGGGGGGAGATTGTAACACCCCGCGTCTCCGATAATTTAATTTTTCACTAAATAGCATCTATTTAGTTAACGTGATTTTATCTCTTATGTGCGTTTATTTGTTTAAGATTTTATTTATGTGATAACCGGTGAAAATTCATATAGAATGCATTAGTCCGAAATATTTTTTGGACGAATTTAAATTGATCATCTTAGTTAATTATTAATCTAGAGGTTAATTATACTCTTTTGTTTGCTAGAACTTATTTGTTAGGAGAATTTTAAAATCACATATTTTCTTAAATAAAAATAGAAAATTCCTCCTATTCATCCCTCAATTTTGACCATGGTACAACACATGACCAAATATTTTCCTTGAGTACAACCCTTGTCTAGGTGAGCCCATGTGCATTAAGATTTTTCCTTTTTGAATTTCTTTTGGAGAGTTAAATGAAATTGCAAAGAAGTCCCTCTAGATAATTCCTAAGTTTTCCTAAATTGCAAAAAGACCACTCCTTAATCATTAAGCATACAAGTCCCTCACAACTCTATAAATAGAACCCAAGCCTTCATCTATTTCTCATTTTTCTCTACACATTCAAAAAAAAATCAAAATCTCTTTCTTCTCTTCTCCCAATTTTCGAAATTATAGTATAGGAAAGCCCCAAATTCTCTCTTTCAAGTGTAAAATTCTTGGCCAAAGGAGTAAGTCTTCTTCATCTTCTTTCTTTTCTTCATTTTCGAAAATTTCAAGAAACTAAGATTCTCTTCCCCTCTTTCTAAAACTTCTTCTTCTTCTCCTTGTAGAAAGGAAAGAACACCCTCCCAATTTTCTAAGAAGATTAAGGTGAGAATTTTCGAATTCTTGCTACAAGTGCTTCAACACCAATAGTATTTTTCTTCTCTTTAATTTCTTGTTAATGTTCTTGTGGTGACCAAAAACTAAAGGAGAAAGAAAATAAAACTTTGTGTTTAATTTATGCTTTGATCATCCATGCATGTAAGAATCTAAGCTTTAAATGATATAATCTTGAAGAACTAAGAATAATATTGTAATTTTATTTATGTATATATATTAGACCTGCGTGATCTTAAAGGAAACTTCGATCCATGGTTTTCGTAAACCTGCGTGGTTGAAGAAAGTACTTGATCCATGGTTTATTTATAAGCTATATGTGCTATATATATATATAAGTATATGTTTCTATGTGTTTATATATATATCGACCTACGCGGTTGTAAATGTACTCCCTTCGGGTCGAGGAAGATTACGATCCATGGTTTATGATCTATGAGTAATAAGATAATATACGAAGATAAAAACCGGGAACAAGATTAATAAAAATAGAATTTTGTGTGATTGAATTGTTGATGGTTCGAATATTTTGAAAGAAAATAAAATAAATGGAAATTTGATGCTACTTGAAAGAAAACTTCAAGTCTCTTGAGAAAGAGGGCTTGAACTTTAAGTAATGAAACTTGGAGATAATAATTATAAATAACCGAATGCTTTGAGTTGTTTTGCTATATGTGTAAATATGTGATCTATGTTCTTTGCTTGACTTGTTATGTGTCTTACTTGCTTTTGTGATTTTGTGACTAAACTAT